GAGGACCCGGATTGTGGGGGCAATAAGCTGACTTTGTATAAAAAAAGAACACCACTAAGCAGGTATATACAAAAATATGAAGGCTATTGCTTAATGCATTGTAAGCCGCCCTGAGTCTCCGGAGAAGGGCGGCATATAAATCGAGCAAACAAACAAACAAACAAATAAATAAATAGTTTTGTGGCCGCTCAAGAAATAGTCAGGCACGGGAAGGGTTTTGTGGCTCCCGGTGTTTTCTTTTCTGTGGGAAATGGGTCTAACTGGCTCTTTGAGTGTTTAAGATTGCAGCAGACCTCTGTTCTAGGCACAGGGGTCTCCAAACTGAACAACTTTTAAGACTTGTGGACTTCAACACCCAGAATTCCTCAGCCAGCCGTGTCTTAAAAGTCTAAAAAGTTGTTCAGTTTGGAGATTCCTTGTCTTGGATAATTTTTTTTTTCTGATTTCTCAATCTAGTCTTCAGCCTTGGGATCTCTTGGTGGTCTCCTTGCCCTTCTCTCTACGCCCGACCCTGTGTAAGCTGCCTTGTTCAAAAGGAAGGAACGGCCATTCTCTGAGGTAAATTAACAGGATTCCTTTAGGCTCCTTGAAAAGCTTTCGACCAAATGCCCTACTCTTGGCTGCAAGATTTCTGCTTTGCATTTTTGCACCCTGGCAAATTCTATTCGCCTCGCCTTCCTCCTTGTGCCACGACACGAGTTAGTGGCGTTCTCACACTGCACTTCACCCGCTTTCAGGGTTTATATAATTCACTGCATCCTCTAGTAGTTAAAGAGGGTGGGTTCGCACAACATGCTAAGCCACTCGTGGGGGTACACAAACAAACTAAGATTAAAGCTAACCAAACATGGGAATTGATCTGTTTGGGGGGGGGGTCTCCAAACCTGGCAACTTTAAGACTTGTGGACTTCACAAGTCTTAAAGTTGCCAAGTTTGGAGACGCCTGGTTTAGGGTTTCAGCTGAGTGGATTTAAGCATGTGGTGAGAACATGAGTACCCCTCAGAAGGAAGCCCAAAACCACCATATCCCAAACACCTTTATTTCTGCTGCAAATCTTTCTGGCTGCAATTTATCCAAAATTTCCTGACTTAGCAACAGGATTTTTTTTAGGCCCTCTCCTAGCTCAAACTCTCTGGAGTCCTTGGTGCTGTTTGAACTTGGTTATATGCTTGCAGACATTTCATTACCCAACTAGGGAACACCATCAGTGCTACAGAGTGTGGGGCATGCTCGCTATTTATCTTGCCCTGCTGGTGTTGACGGAGATGTGATTTTCTCCTTGGCAGTTCCTTGATTACGGTATCGCTTTCTGCCTCATTGTTTGTCTGGTATTAATCCCTGCTTATCTGGGTGTTGGCATCTGGAAAAGTACAAGGGGGAAAAAACCCCACACTTCTACCAACACTGGCAGAGCAAGCTACTGTCTTTAAACAGGGAGCAAACCTCACCCCCAATCACACTGATGATGTTATCTGGTTGGGTAATGAAACGTCTGCAGGCAAAAAAAAAAAAAATCAACTTCAGAGACCACCATGGACTCCATCATTCGATGTGAGCTACAGATAAGCTCTTCCATTGCTTTCAATAAGAGTCCATGGTGTTCTTTGAGCTCGATTTGTTTCCCCCCTGCAGACGTTTTATTACCCAGCTAGATAACATAATCAGGGTGACTGAGTGACTGTTTTATAGCTTTTTCCTACTGCAAATGCCCTTCTTTGGGATTCCTTTGCACAACCCGTACTTTCCCTCGCAGTTTGCCAAGGCTGGCATCAAATTCAACGTCAGAGACCCCCTTATCCAAACCAAGTGTGCCCACCGTATAAGAAAGGGATAGCTGAAGACCCTGCCAAATCCAAAAGAGACAGATAAGAGCGGGAGGAAAAAACATTTTCTCTATTGTTACATGAGCTCTGTGAACACACTAACCTCACCAATGCAGTCGGGCCCTTTATTGTCATTTTAACCAGAGATCTAACGTGAAGTTGGCTAGACTGTTATATTTGTGCTCTTTTTAATGATGTATGAGTTGCGTATTTCTGGACTATTTCAAAGTGGATTGGTTGGGTTATAACGTAAAAACGGTGTGCTAATTCAGCAACAGGCTAAAAACCAGGAGACTGTGAGTTCTAGTCCTACTTTAGTCATGAAAGCCGACTGGGTGACTTTGGGCCAATCACCTGGAGACCGTGAGTTCTAGTCCCACTTTAGGCACGAAAGTTGCCTGGGCCAATCACTAGGAGACTGAGAGTTCTAGTCCAACTTTAGGCATAAAAGCCAGATAGGTGACTTTGGGCCAATCACCAGGAGACCATGAGTTCTAGTCCCACCTTAGGCACGAAGGTTGTCTGGGTGACTTTGGGACAATCACTAGGAGACTGAGAGTTCTAGTCCCGCCTTAGACATGAAAGCCAGATAGGTGACTTTGGGCCAATCACCAGGAGACTGTGAGTTCTAGTCCCACCTTAGGCATGAAAGACAGCTGGGCGATTTTGAGCCAGTCACTCTCTCTCTCATCATATGAAGAGCCGAGGTGGCGCAGTGGTTAGGGTACAGTACTGCAGCTACTTCAGCTGACTGTTAGTTCAGCAGATCAGCGGATCAAATCTCACCAGCTCAAGGTTGTTGGGGGCAATATGCTATTTAGTATACTGTCTTTGGTGTAAGCCGCCCAGAGTCCTCGGAGAGTGGGCGGCATAGAAATATGAATAATAAATAAAATAAATAAATCCCAACCCACCTCACAATCCACTGTTGTTGTGGATAAAATAGGAGGGGGAAAGAAGGAACATTTAGGTATATTAGCCGCCTTGAGTTATTTATCAAAATAATAAAGGCAGGATTTTAAAAATCTAAAAAAAAAAGACCTTCCTACCGATCTACCTAATGTATATGGTTATTGTTGGGAATTCTGGCAGGTTGAATTCTATGCTTCTGGAAGTCCACGAAGTTTGTTTCTTTGTGAATTAGGTTTATATCCTCCCCGCCATTTTGTTCAAGAGCTCAAAGCAACAGACTACTGCCCCCCCCATCTTCCCCCCAAATAACAGCCCTGCGCCAGAGGCAGCCCCAAAATCACCCAAGGTGCTTCTATAGTTAAAGATGGATCGAAGTAGGGTCACCCCGATGCCGGTACAACACTTTCATTGAGATTAGGAAACCCTACTTGGCCTGCACCTCAAAATATTTTCCCCTTCTCCTTTTGCTTGGCCGAGTCCAAATGCTACAAGCAGCACCTACGCAGAGCCTAGCCTGCTGCACTTGGTATCTGGGCAAGCCAAAAAAGAAGTCTGTGCAGATTCCTACTGTCCAATTAAACCAAAACAGCTGGCTTGTCCAACAGGTGAAGCTACAAAGGACTTCAGTGCACCTGTTGGGTCTCGCACCGCTGTGCTGACAGCCTGCGATGGCAATGAAATCTGACAGGGGTGAACCCAGATTTGCCCTTAGCAATCCACCCGCCAGCTAGCTGTAAAACTTTCACAAGCAGGTCTCAATTCTCTCCTTCTTGCACCTATTTCTAGCCGGGAAGCCTTGCGTCTGATGCATCAGAGATGCAACTATCTAAATAAAATATAAAATATATAAAATCAGAGACTAAGTTGATCAAAGGCCTGGAGACCAAAATGTATGAAGAACGGTTGCAGGAGCTGGGTATGGTTAGTCTAGAGAAAAGAAGGACCAGGGGAGACAGGATAGCAATATTCCAGTAATTGAGGGGCTACCCCAAAGAAGACCGGGGGAGGAGGTTCAACTCATTTTCCAAAGCAACAGAAGGCAGAACAAGAAACAATGGATGGAAACTAACCAAAGGAGAGAAACAACCTGGAATTAAGGAGGAACTACCTAACAGCGAGGACAATTAAGCAGTGAAATAAATGAGTTGCCTTCAGAAGTTGTGGGGGTTCTCCATCACTGGTGGCTTTTAAGAAGAGACTGGATAGCCACTTGTCTCGAATTGTATAGGGTCTCTTCCCTGAGCAGGGGGTTGGACTAGAAGACCTCGAAGGTCCCTTCCAGCTCTATTCTGATTGATTGACTGACTGACTGACTGACTGACTGACTGACTGACTGACTGGTTGGTTGACTGACTGACTGACTGACTGACTGACTGACTGGTTGTTGGTTGGTTGGTTGATTGACTGACTGACTGACTGGTTGGTTGGTTGGTTGACTGCCTGCCTGCCTGCCTGACTGACTGACTGACTGACTGACTGACTGGTTGGTTGGTTGACTGACTGACTGACTGACTGACTGGCTGGTTGCTTGGTTGGTTGGTTGACTGACTGACTGACTGACTGACTGACTGACTGGTTGACTGACTGACTGACTGACTGACTGACTGACTGACTGACTGACTGACTGACTGACTGGTTGCTTGGTTGACTGACTGACTGACTGACTGACTGACTGGTTGGTTGACTGACTGGTTGGTTGACTGACTGACTGACTGACTGGTTGGTTGGTTGGTTGACTGACTGACTGACTGACTGACTGATTGACTGACTGACTGATTGGTTGATTGACTGACTGACTGATTGATATGGAGGAAAAAGGGGCTCGATGCGAGAGGGCTGGGAAAAACGGGGTGAACATCCCAGCACCCCTTTTGCTGGTAAGAGCAATAGATAATCCCCCCCCCCCGCAAATGCCCGGTGGGACCGTAACTAACAACTCTTGCTTCAAAGTATTGAGAAGCGGCGGAACTCCTGGACCGAAGTCAGCAGAGCGCAGCGCAACCTGCGCTCTTGTGCAAAACCGAAAGCCCTTTTCACATGCTCAGAGGCTGCCGGCTTTCCCCCTTTCCTGGCTCTCTCTCTCGCCGGTTTAAACAAAAAACCTCCCCAGCGCGAAAGGGATGCGAGGCTTCTTCCCGACGGAGAGCGAGGGGGCTGGAGGCCAGGCACTCTCTGCACATGATCAGAGTCCCTCTTTTCCTTTCCGCGCAGGCACCGCTTGAAGGAGCCCGTCCCGCGGCGGGGAAGGCGCAGAGGCCACTCACCAAAGTCTGCTCGTACTGTAGCGCCCGCTGCTCCAGGCCGCCGTCCGCCGCCATCCTGGCCGCTTGCTCCGGCTTCTCAAGCGGTCCCTCCGGGCAGCCCTACCGGCGCTTCCCTCCCTGCCTCCCTCCGTCCCTTCGGCCGGGGCTCCTGGCTTGCCTCCGCCTCCCCAACGCCCCCGGGCGGGGAGAGGCGGGACGGGGCGGGACGGGACTGGCTGGCTGGCCGGAGCAGGCCGAAGGGAGGTGCCGACAGCCCCGCTCCGCCTCTGCTCCCGCTGGACCCGGCCGGGGCTTCCGCAGCGGTGAGAGACGCGGCGGCCGGACGGTCCGTCCTGAGGAGACTTCGCGGACTGGCCACCGACTCGCGCGTCCTTCTTCCCCGAACCGAACCGAGGGCATCGGCTAGGCTAGGCTTGGACTGGCCGGACTCAATGCCTGGTTCTCCATCAAGCGTGTACACGAGAGGTCTCGTTCACACAACACGCTGAACTCCCGTTACCACACACGCATACACACACACACACAGAGTCCTCGACTTCACAACGGTTCATTTAGGGACCGCTACAAAGTGGCAAAAAAGGGACTTGTGACCATTTTTCGCACTTACGACCTATGCAGCGTCGAAATTCAGAGGCCTGGCAACCAGTTCGTATTTATGACGGTTGCCAAGGTCACGCAGTCCCCCTTTTTCACACTTACGACCTATGCAGCAGCAGGGGATTGAAATTCAGAGGCTTGGCAACCCAGTTCATATTTATGACGGTTGCCAAGGTCACGCAATCCCCTTTTGCAACCTTCTGACAAGCAAAGTCAATGGGGAAGCCAGATTCACTTAACAACTGTGGGAGGAAAGGTCGTAAAATGAGGGAAAACTCGCTTAACGAATGTCTCACTTAACGACAGAAATGTTGGGCTCGATCGTGGTCGTAAGTCGAGGATTACTGGCACCCATTCCTGGAGTTCAGCCTTGGAGAGGGAAATTGAGTTTGGGCGTTACCCTGTTGTCGTTTTTTACCTGATCATGGCTTATTGAATCCAGTGGAATACAGGTAATCCTTGACTTACAACAGTTTGTTTAGTGACTGTTGAAAGTTAACAAAGGCACTGAAAAAGTAACCCAGGATTGTTTTTCACACTTATAACTGTTGCAGCATCCCCAGGACCACATGATCAAAATTCGGAAACTTGGCAACTGACTTCATATTTATGACGGTCACAGTGTCCTGGGTTCATATGATCTTCTTTTGCGGCCTTCTGACAATCAAAATCAATGGCGAAGCCAGATTCGTTTAACAACCATGTTACTAACTTAACAACTGCAGTGCTTCACTTAATAACTGAAGCAAGGAAGGTCGTAAAAATGGGGCAAAGCTCAACTTAACAAATGTCTCACTTAGCAACATAAAGTTTGGGCTCCATTGCGGTCGTAAGTCGAGGAGCACCTGTAGGCTAACAACAACAAGACACTATGGCAGGATTTATGGTAGTGACACCATTTGGCTGAGTTCACACGTTGCACTAAACCACCATGTGGTTAATTTGGTTTGGCTCACCGTGGGAAGAATCCAGTCAGAATCTCCATCTTCTTTCTGATCCTGGTTTGCATTTAGTGTTTCCCAGCAGAAGCGAGGAACCTAAACATACAAACTTCGGGTTCACACAACCTACAGCAGGGGTCAGCAACCTGCGGCTCTGGAGCCGCGTGTGGCTCTTTGGACCCTCTGCTGTGGCTCGCTGTCAGGTGATCCTACCACTGGTTGACCCCACCCCTCGCCCTCCCAGTCACTCCTCGCCTGGCCTGAGAAGGTAAGGGTGACGGCAGGGGATGGAGAAGTGGCCAGGGTAGCGGTGGTGAAATGTAAAATTTGTTACTACCGGTTCTGTGGGCGTGGCTTGGTGGTGGTGGGGGGGTAATGTGACTGGGTAGGCGTGACCAACTTTTTTTTTTTACTTTTAAAAGCATTTTTTCTACAACCTTAAGAGGTTGCAGAAAAAAATGCTTTTAGAAGCCTCTGATGATCAGGTAACTCAGCTGGGATCGCCAGAGGCTTTTAAAGGCATTTTTTTTCCCCCTACAACCTCTTTGGCCGAAGAGGTTGCAGAAAAAAAATGCTTTTAAAAGCTTCTAACGATCCCAGCTGAGCCGCACGATCATCAGAGGCTTTTTATTTTTACTTTTAAAAGCATTTTTTTGGCGGAAGAGGTTGTAGAAAAAATGCTTTTAAAAGTAAAAGAAAAAAGCCTCTGATGATCGCGCGGCTCAGCTGGGATCGTTAGAAGGGGGGGGCAGGGATTTTTGCTACCGGTTCTCCGAACCACCCGCCGCCATCGCTACTGGATCGGGCAATCTGGTCCGAACCGGGAGCATTTCACCCCTGCAGGGTAGAGACAGAGAGATACAGAAAAAGGGGGGAGGGAGGGGAGAGAGAGAGATGTCAAAAGGTTTTTGTGGTTCCCGGTGTTTTTTAATGACCGGCTGGGTAGGCTGGGGGGGGGTGTCATGTGACTGGTGGAAGTGAGTGACATCGAGTTGGCCATGCCTACCCAGGTTTTGTGGCTCCCGGTGTTTTCTTTTCTGTGGGAAACGGGTCCAAATGGCTCTTTGAGTGCTTACGGTTGCAGACCCCTGACCTACAGGATTAATAAACACAGCTAACATGCTGACAGGCTGTTCTCCGATAAATTTAGCTTAACGTGAACAAAACATTGAACTGCAAACTTACCCAGCTCTGTTTTATGCTAGATTAGCATGTTATGCAGTGGTGGCAATTAGCTGGCTCTACCCAGTTCGGGCAAACCGGTAGTGGCGGCTGCAGGAGGCTCCGCCTACTCACCCAGATGTCATCACGTCCTGTTTTTGATGCTCTACGTATGCACGGAAGGCTCTGTGCGCTCATATTTGCGAACCGGTAGCGAAGGTAAGTGAATACCATCCCTAATGTTGTATGAATTCAACTCGGGGAACCATCTTTCATAAGGAGGTAGGGGGAGAGGGGGGGCTGTTTCCCCAAATAAAGGAAGAAAACAGAATTGCTCCTCGTTTAGAAATTTAAAGTCCTTCTGAGTTGGAAACATTTCAGAAAACCTGGAATTTAATCCTGCCTCTCCTTCCCCTTTCTGGATGATAGCAAAGTTCACCTCTGCCTTTTACTTATTACACAAACTTGATAACGGTTTAGCACAGGCTTAATTGACAGATCGTGCTCAACCATAAACCAGGATATACCAGTCTTTACAAGCCACAATGCATTGGGTGGAAAGAAACAATATGTTGTTTTTTTAAAAAAATTCTGGATTCAGACAATACAGTCTTCGACTTACAACAGGGCACAGTGATTAGAATGCAGGATTACAGGCTAATTCTGCTGAATGCCAACAGTTCGATCCTGACCGGCTCAAGGTTGACTCAGCCTTCCATCCTTCCGAGGTCGGTAAAATGAGGAGCCACATTGCCGAAGGGGCAGCGGGGGGCAATAGGCTAACTCTCTAAACCGCTTAGAGAGGGCTGTAAAGCACTATGAAGTGGTATATAAGTCTAAATCAGAGATGGTATTAAGCCGGTTTGGACCAGTTCAGGCAAACCGGTAGTAGCACCTGCACTCACATTTTTGATGCTGGGCCAACCGGTAGGTAAATTATGTGACTCCCACTCCTGGTCTAAATGCAGTTGCTATTTAGTGACCGTTCGAAGTTATAACAGCGCTGAAAAATTTAACTTATGACCGTTTTTCACACTTACGACCAATGCAGCATCCCCGTGGTGATGTGATCAAAATCTGGAGGCTTGGCAACTGACTTGTAATTAGGACGGTTGCAACGTCCCCGGGATGACAGGCAGAGGTGGGTTTCAGCAGGTTCTGACCAGTTCTGGAGAACCGGTAGCGGAAATTTTGAGTAGTTCGGAGAACCGGTAGTAAAAATTCTGACTGGCCCCGCCCCCATCTATTCTCTGCCTCCTGAGTCCCAGCTGATCAGGAGGAAATGGGGATTTTGCAGTAACCTTCCCCTGGAGTGGGGTGGGAATGGAGATTTTACAGTATCCTTCCCCTGCCACGCCCACCAAGCCACACCCACAGAACCAGTAGTAAAAAAATTTGAAACCCACCACTGATGACAGGGTCCTCTTTGGCGACCAAAGTCAATGGGGAAACCAGATTCGCTGAACAACCTAAATTAACAAGCGCAATGATTCACTTAACAGCTGTGGCAAGAAAGGTCGTAAAGCGGGGCAAAACTCACTTAGCCACTGTCTCACTTAACAACATAAATTTTGGGCTGATTTGGGGGTCGCATGTTGAGGCCTAGCTATAATAAACTAAACCAAATTGGATTAACTTAATTAGGGAAGGAATGCATTTTTCTGGATTTGCACAGTAGTTGAACTAATCTGACAGTGTGAGTTCATGCAACATGCTAAGCCTTTTAAAAAAATAATAATAACCAAAGTGAATTCTAAGGAAACTCAGCATGTTATCGAAATGAACCCACTGACCCGTTTTATATGTGTTATGAAAACATAGCTGCGAAAACAATAAGCTAAAACTAAGCCATGTTCCTAGTAATGGCACACATTTTGCAAATGTGTCTCTTTATTTGTACTCATTCCATTAATTGAATGGGTTATTCATGAATAAATTAACGCAGCTGATTAATAACGAATTGCTTAATTACAATAACTAAGGCATCTGTTTGTTTTGGCTTGATCCCTTTCATAAATGTGTTACTTATTAGTAAATAAAATTAAACTCATGTATTCTGTGAAGGCTTCTCTCTCTCTCTCTCTCTCTCTCTCTCTCTCTCTCTCTCTCTCTCTTTCACCCATATGAATTATGACATTGTTTGCAATAAAACTATTAAAGTCTGGACTGATTTGCTTTAAGTTAAAAGCTGGTGGCTTTCCTTGAGGAAGGTTAATCCACTGAAGAAAAAGTTAATAATTAATCATACATATTTATCTAATCCCTCTTTAAGGAATTCAGGGCAGTCTCCTTTTTTTTTCTCTCTCTCTCTCTCCACTTCCCCCTCTTCCCAAAATAACAAAGAGAATGATTATTTCAAGGTTAAAAGCCTCTTTACTTGCTGGGGATGAGAATCTGTCTTCCAAGCATTCAGAAAACCTTAAGA